TGTCAAGATCGAAAGGATTTTTTTAAACGATCTAGAAGACAGTAAAAGAAAGATCTAGAAAGAATACACAGACCTGAAATTGCAAAACTTGAGTTTGAGTCCAAGCTATGCCATTTGCCAAGTGACTTGCCAAGATTGAAAGGATTTTTTTTTTTTAATGATCTAGAAGACAGTAAAAGAAAGGTCTAGAAAGATTTGACAAATGCCTCTCCTCAGGTCCCTTCTGGGGCTAAAAAAGAAGGTTCTAGCCAGGCGCGGTGGCTCACACCTGTAATCCCAGCACTTTGGGAGGCCGAGGTGGGTGGATCGCGAGGTCAGGAGATAGAGACCATCCTGGCCAACTGGTGAAAGCACATCTCTACTAAAAATACAAAAATTAGCCGGGTGTGATGGCATGCGCCTATAATCCCAGCTACTTGGGAGGCTGAGGCAGGTGAATGGCTTGAATCCAGGAGGCGGAGATTGCAGTGCGCCAAGATTGCGCACGCCAGCCTGGCAACTGAATGAGACTCCATCTCAAAAAAAAAAAAAAAGAAGGTTCTAGGTTAAGTGTCTTGTCCCCAAGAATCATCATCAAGTTAAGATGAGGAAGTCCTAAGTTTTGAGATCTAATTTTAAAAAGTTTAATTGAGGGCCGGGCGCAGTGGCTCACGCCTGTAATCCCAGCACTTTGGGAGGCCGAGGTGGGTGGATCACGAGAAATCGAGGCCATCTTGGTCAACATGGTGAAACCCCATCTCTACTAAAAATACAAAAAATTAGCTGGGCACAGTGGCACGTGCCTGTAATCCCAGTTACCCAGGAGGCTGAGGCAAGAGAATTGCCTGAACCCAGGAGGCAGAGGTTGCGGTGAGCCGAGATCGCGCCACTGCACTCCAGCCTGGGTAACAAGAGCAAAACTCCGACTCAAAAAAAAAAAAAAGTTTTATTGATATATATATATATACAAACAACAAACCCAAAGTCAAACAATCAAATGACCACAGAGGGCACAATAAGATGTGCATAGGATAAAAAACACTTTGACACTTTGGGAGTTCAGGACACGCTTGATGAGGGGTGGGGGGGGGTCATTTGAGATGGTCTGGAAGGGTGGCTAGAAGTTTAAACAGGTGAGAAACAGCAGAAGGAGACATAGCACAAGCACAGAAGTAAGTGCAGGCATCATCAGACCTCAGAAAGCAAAGGTGGGAATGACCAGAGGGCCCTGGGAGCTGCTGCTACTGCACAGCTCTCGAATCCTCAGAGCTGGAGGCAGACAAGGACCCCACCCTCCCACCTGCTTTTGCCTCATGTTCAAAGAATTGGAGGCTGGAAAGACCTGAGAGCCTGAGCATCTGCAGGTGTCTGGCCTTGGAAAGCCGCCTGAATCCTGCTGTGAACACCCCTCCTGCTGCACAGTGACAGGGCACAGGCAAGTGGGAGAGTCTTCCAGCCAAGTCAGCAGAGGCTCATGGCAAAGTCCTTCATAATGGAGTCACAGACTTTCTGGGAATCTGAGTGGCTAATGAGGGGTCACATGGGGATGAGGACATGCTGCCAAGGGAACAGGCATAGGTTCTAATGGCAGAAGTGACAGATACCTTCTCCTTTCTAACTAGAGAAGACATTTGGAGCAGACATGCCAACCTCCCCTTTAGCTCAGAATGTAAGAGTTCTTGGAGAAAAGGTCCAAGTACCCCATTTTACAGATGGGAAACAGCAGCCAGAGGAGAAAAAGTAGCCTATCTAAAGCCTACCAGACTGTGGCTGTGTCCCCATCCAGAATCTCATCTTGAATTATAGTCCCCATAATCCCCACATGTCAAGGGCAGGACCAGATGGCAGTAACTGGATTGGGGGTGGTTTCCTCCATGCTGTTTTTGTAATAGTGAGTTCCCACGAGCTCTGATGGCTTTGTAAGCGTCTGGCATTTCCGCTGCTTGCACTCACTCTGTCCTGTCTCCCTGTGAAGAAAGTGACTGCTTCTCCGTTGCCTCCTGCTATGATTCTAAGTTTCCTGAGGACTCCCCAGCAATGTGGAACTGTGAGTCAATTAAACCTTTTTCCTTTATAAATTACCCAGGCTTGGGTCTTTCTTCACAGTAGTGTGAGAATGGACTAATGTACTCCCCTTTACACCCAGAATCTGAACATTAGAACTGTAAGTGTTACTGGAGAACAGGTCCAATAACCCATTGTACAGATGAGGAAACAGAGGCCAGAGGAGAAAGGCAGCCTATCTAAAGCCTACCAAATGTTCATAGGCAGAGCCAGGAACAAGGTGCAGTCTGACTTCTAGTCCAGGGCCATAGATATTCTGAAGCCAAAAATACTACATGCTTTAAGACACACAGGAGAAGGGAGAATCAAGAAGAGTTGCAGGGAAGAGGAGGGCTAGAGACTGGCAGATGCTGGAAACAGGTGGAGGATGCCGGGACAGAGAAGAGAACTCTAAATGTGGCATCTGGGAAGCAAGTGGAAATAGGACTGCTGCTGCAGGTGTAGAGTAGATGGAGGAGAAAGAGGCATGCTCCCTTCACTTAAGACTTAAAAAAAATGATGGAAAGACAGAATCGGAGGTGTAAGGGAAGAAAATTCGGGGAGTTTTAGCCTGATGACCTCAGTCTTCTCAGCAGGTGAGGCAACTGCTGGAACAAAGTCTCTGTGGGGACTGGATTAAAGGTCTGTGCTCAGATCCAGACACAGACCTGTGGGGTAGCCAACAGCCAATCTGGAGCTACCAAGGCTCAGGGAGAGCTCGGGGGCTTGGACACTGCTGAACTTGTGATCAGTCTGTGATTGGTGCTGGTGCCAGAAGGCACAGGCCGTGGTTCTCTCCAGCAATGCCTGGCAGGCTGGGACAAGTCACAGAGGAAACAGATGGGCCTGCGTGTCAAGGGGAGGCCAGGGGACAGTCACGGGGGCAGGAGAATCAAAGGCCAAGTGAGGACACAGGTGAGGTGACCGAGGCCTGGCCCAGGCTGGGAGGAAGGCCAGGGCAGGAGGAGGCTGGGAGGGAAGAAAGTGCAGAAGGAGACCATCGTGGGCCAACCCCAGAGGGAGAGGAACTGAGAACATGGAAGGAATCAAGGGAAGTTATCCTGGAATGGGGACTGGCAGAATTCTGGATCTTGGAATGCAGGTGGCGACAGGGCCCACAGGAATCTATGTGAAGTCTGCTTAAATGAAGCTTAAATGACAGGAAACAGTGTCCAGAATATGTAGGAAGGCCATTAACTTCAGTCCTGAGGCTGCCCAGAGGAAGAGGAAAACTGAGACATCAGAGGCCTCAAGGGATGCGAGGGACAGTTGTGAGGTCAGAGGGCAGGGCCCAACTTCAAAGGAAGCAGAACTGGCCTGAAAGGCGGAAAGGGAAACGCTGCTCCGCCCCTCTCCCAGGCTGGGTGGGCGGAGTGAGACTCTGGCTGAGAAATGAGAAGGAACCCGGGAGGGTTTGAAGAGGACAGTTCAGGGAGGACACAGTTTGGGGATGGGATGGGGGGTGCTGAACAGGAAGTCCTGAAGGTACAGAGGAAGTGGCTGAGGTTGAGGGGACACCCAGTGGGAGTGTCCACCCCAGAGGCACTGTATTCAGGATGCATTCCCATCCAGATTCCAACCGTCACCTAAGGACTCAGCATTTCACTAACATTCTCCAGCACACCTAATTCCCAGACACCAATTTTGTACATCTCCACCTTACAAATGTCACATGTCACCTGACAACTTCCAGATACAATCAGGAATTATCTGATAAGTATCTCCCAGTAGACAACCTTAACCCATAATGAGGAGTTCCAGGTCTCCAGCGCAAACATCCTGATCAGGGAACCCAGCTTTTAATACACTGTCTAAAACAGTGCTTCCCCTTCCCCCCGTCAACCCCTTCCTTGCCTTTGTTTTTCTTGACTCCTATTACCATCTGGCATATGACATATCTATGTGCACTGCTTTATCCGCAATGCTCAGCACAGGGCCCAGTGCATAATGGGCATTCCATAAATAGATTTAGATTGTCGAATAAATTATCTTTGAAACCCCAAGCTAGATTTTGTTGGGAAGGGGAACTATGAAGTCATTCCTGCTTTTGAAAAGAGTGGGTCTGAGCTTTGTGGAGTTCACTCATTCTAACATCTCCACCGTGAACAGTTCTGTGTCAGGCTAAGCAAGTCAAGTGCTGACCTAACATATCTTCCTGGGACCTGCAAGATGGTTCTTGTGCAACACCAAGACCTGCTCTGACCTCCTCCATCCCCAACCCACTAAGCCTGGCAGGCATTCAGCTGCGTTCACAGCACCTGCTCTTTACCCAGGCAGACTCTACAAGAAGATGGTGGTGCAGCCTCTTCTTTCTGCTGGTTAAAAATAAAAGCAGCAGCATTAAATGAGCTTCTTTTCTTTTCTTTTTTTTTTTTTTTTGAGACAAGGTCTTACTCTGTCACCCACGCTGGAATACTAGGAAGGCTGAGGTGGGAGAATCGACTGAGCTCACTGCAGCCTTGACCATCCGGGTTCAATCAATATCCTCCTACCTCAGCCTCCCTAGTAACTGGGATTACAGGCATGTGCCACCATGACTGGCTAATTTTCATATTTTTTGTAGAGATAGGGTTTCACCATGTTGCCCAGGCTGGTTGTGAACTCCTGGACTCAAGCAATCTACCTGCCTCAGCCTCCCAAAGTGCTGGGATTACAGGCATGAGCCACTGCACCCAACCTAAAAGAACTTCTATAATGATGTTTCTTCCTTCTACCTTTTCTAGAAATGTGCCTATAATGCATCCCTAAAGCATCTCATTGACATCCTCTCCCGGTTACTGGTCACCTCAAGGGTAGGGGATCCTGCAGGCCTGGTGACACACGGCACGTGGGCCCCACAACCACCGTCCCAATGCCTATGACTGGAACAGCATCACAGTTTTACTCCTGTTTTTCTCTACCCATTTCTAGCAACTGTCGATGTGCGATTAGCAATGAAAAGCCAATCTGTTCTGAAATGAATCAAAGCAATAACTTACCGCAACCTGGGCAGAGTCGAGGAACTGGAGGCCAAAGTAATCTGTTTCCACAAGGTCCAAGTGGTACACAATCTGATCAAACAAATCCTGGCCTTTGGCATGTTTCTGGAAGACAACGGGGAAGATGAAAAAACCTAGGGTGAGATGGCCAAATAAGAAAAAAAGATTTTTTAAAAAAACCCCGCTTCTCTTTGTAAATTGCTTACACATCCTCACACACAAATTTTTAAATTTGTAATTATTTTGATAAGTGTAATATAAACTCATGATTAAAGAAACTCAAATGTCACATAATAGCATAAAGTTAAGAATCTCGATAACCCTGTTAACCTTTGCTAGTCTCTCCTTACAAAAAGAATACTTTTTGGATGAATACCTACCTGGGAAGGTAAGCTTTGCCAAAATCAGACATGCTTGAAGAAGGGTGTAACAGGGACTTACTCTAGCATAGCGAAAGCTGGGCTGTTTCTCAATGCAGGCAATCTTACTGAGGAAAGAAACCTCATCCTCTGAAATTGACTCTTCCAGCCTTCTGATTTCACAAGTAGGTAACCAAGGCCCCAAGAAACACAAAGACCAGCCAGAGGTCACAGGCCACGAACTAGGACTCAAACTCAAATTCCAGGTTCACGCCAAGGTTTTGGCTATGTGGTATACACATGGGGCATGAGCACAGGAAAGCAGCCAGAGACATAAGGGGTCAAGTCCTGCATCTGCCACTTGACCTCATACAAGTTACTCCTCCTAATGCTTCTATTCCTGCCCCTGTAAAATGGGCCGCAGGAAACCTGCTCTCCCCACCTCTCCTTGGGAGAAGTGAGAGTTCGAATGAGAAACCACTGCAAGAATACTGAAGTCTTTGACAAATGAAAGACTTCTTAACAGTCACCCAAGCAGGACACAGACATGCTTCTCAGATAAAACAACGTCACTGTCAATAGATCCAAACACAAATATGTTTAAATCTAAGTGTCATAATCACAAAGAAAAAAAACCCAACTCCATAGGATGACTCGAGCAGCAACTCCTTATTATGGAAACTGGTAAAGAAAGGGAAAGAATCCAGCACTGACTCTTCCTTTAACTGCAGCACTGGGTAACCTAAGAGTAGATGGCAGCATATGCAAAAATTAACTCAAAGTACACCGAAGACCTAAATGTAAGAGCTAAAACTATAAAACTCTAGAATAAAACATAGGCATAAAGCCTCATGACCTTGAATTAGACAACGATTTCTTAGCTGTGACGCCAAGAGTGCAAGCAACAAAAGAAAAAATAAACTGGACGTCATCAAAATGTGCGAATTTTTTTTTTGCTTCAAAGGACATCGAGACACAAGGAAAGCGCAGACAACCCAAATGGGAGAACATGTTTGTTTGCAAATCATGTACCTGAGAAGGGACTTTTAATCTAGAATATATAAAGAACTATTACAACTCAATAATAAAAAGACAAATATCTAATTTAAAAATAGGCAGAGGGCATATATAGCTAGTTTTTCTACAAACATACAAATGGTCAATAAACACATGAAAAGATGCTCAACATCACTAGTCTTTAGGGAAATGCAAATCAAAATTTAATTAAATACTACATCATCACACCCACTAGAAAGGCTATAATTAAAAAGGCCAGACACAGTGGCCCATACCTGGAATCCCAACAATTTGGGAGTCCAAGGCAGGCAGATCACTTGAGGTCAGGAGTTTGAGACCAGCCAGGCCAACATGGTGAAATCCTGTCTCTACTAAAAATACAAAATTTAGCAGGGTGTGGTGGTGGGCACCTGTAATCCCAGCTACTCAGGAGGCTGAGGTGGGAGAATTGCTTGAATCAGGGAGGTGGAGGTTGCAGTGAGCTGAGATTATGCCATTGTACTCCAGCCTGGGCGGTAGAACAAGACACCATCTCAAAAATAAATGAATAAATAAAAAGACAGATCATAACAAATGTTGGAGAAATAGAAACCCTCATATACTGCTGGTGGTAAATAAACAAATAAAAAGACGGATCATAATAAATGTTGGGGAAATTTAACATTTCAAATTTGGAAAAAAAGTTTTGCTTTGGAAATAGCCTGGCAGTTCCACAAATGGCTAAACACAGAGTTAGTTACCACATGACCCAGCAATTCTACTCGTAGGTAAGAGAAATGAAAACATATGTTCATGCAAAAATTTGTACATAAATGCTCGTAGCAGCATTTATTTATAATATTTATAATATTCAAAGGTAGAAACAACCCAAATATCAATTGATGAACGGATCAACAAAATGCAGTATAACTGTACAATGGAGTACCACTTGGTCGTAAAAAGGAATGAAGTGCTGATACATGCTTCCACATGGATGAACCTAAAAACACTATGTAAGTGAAAGAAGCCAGACACAAACAGCCATACATCATATGATCCACTCCTAAGAAACTTCCAAAGTAGGGAAATCTATAGAGCCAGAAATTAGATTAGTGGTTGCTTCAGGCAAAGGGGTTCGGGGGATGACAGCTAAGGGGAGTCGGGTTATTTGTGGGGGGAAGTAGGATTTAAACGAAATGTTCTAAAATTAGTTGTGGTGACAGCTGCACAACTCTGAATACACTGAGAGTTGTTGGATTGTACACTTTAGATAGGCAAACTGGATGACAAGTGAATCTAAATAAAGCTTTTAAAAATAGTAGGTGGGTGGAGTTTTTCTTTATTAAAGTATTTCAACAAATAAATGAAGAAATAACAGAACTGCAATATCATCATTTTGCAACCTCTAAACGGGTGGTAGGCTCTAAGCACTGAACATCAGTGGTACTAACTCTCAACAGAAGACAACCAGACATTATCCTCCTGATAAGAACATCCCATCCCCTAAGGCGTAACCTTGCTCCCCAACCTTTCTCTCCACAAGAGTTGGCCTGTGAGAAATTCTAGAAACTAATCAGAACAAATGATCTCATTTCTTTTCTTTTCTTTTTTTTTTTTTTTTTTTTTTTGTTGAGATGGAGTTTCACTCTTGTTGCCCAGGCTGGATGCTGCAATCTCAACTCACTGCAACCTCTGCCTCCCGGATTCAAGTGATTCTCCTGCCTCAGCCTCCTGAGTAGCTGGGACCACAGGCATGCACCACCAAGCCCAGCTAATTTTTGTGTTTTTAGTAGAGACGGGTTTCACCGTTGGCCAGGCTGGTCTTGAACTCCTGACCTCAAGTGATCGGCCCACCTTGGCTTCCCAAAGTGCTGGGATTATAGGTATGAGCCACCACACCTGGTCAAATGATCCCATTTCTGTCTTCAACAAGCAGAACACAGGGAAGATAAGAGACAGAGGGGATACCTACAGATTAAAAGAGATTTAAAAGACACTTTTTTCTTAAAGGCAAAACAAAACTGCAATGTCTAAGGATGCACATTTGGGTGATAAAACTAGAGAAGAACAAGGAAGTAGTCATAATAAAGTCAGGGTAACTGTTGATCTTGTGGTAAGGTTACACTAAGGGCTTCTGGGCGGTGCCAGGGTTCTCCCTGACTTGTGTAGTGGTATCAGGATGCCTGCCTTCTCATAACCCAATAAACTGGTACCTTTGTTTTCTTTGTGCAGATGTATTTGTTTGACACACACAACAGCAATACTACATCATGGGATTACAGCCTGCAGCCTCTTTCCCTCCTCGATGCAGTCCTCTTAGGCAACAATTCAACAGAAGCAGAAGGCAGGATGTGCAACTAGGAAAGGAGGCTGGGGGATGAGACGGCCTGATCTCTCCACAACAGGGATGCAGAGCCAAGACGCAGCAACACTCCGGAACGCTTACTGTTCCACCATTATAAAGATAATTACGAAGATGAGATAAAAAACAGGGAAAATGTTAATGACGATGTCAGAAAACAGACTTTAAAGGAATAAGCAAGCTGTGATTACAACTAAATAAAAATATATATGTGTTATGTACATAGACTGATAAAAACAGGAAATTTGCTAAAATGAAAATTGTTGTACAGATGCTCCTTATGATGGGATTACATCTCAATAAACCTATTATAAGTTGAAAATGCACTTAAGGCCAGGCACAGTAGCTCACGCCTGTAATTCCAGTACTTTGGGAGGCTGAGGCTGGAGGACTGCTTGAGGCCAGGGGTTCAAGACCAGCCTGGACAACATAGCAAGACCCCATCTCTACAAAAAAGTAAAAAAAAAAAATTAGTTGGGCATGGTGGCATGTATGTGTAGACCCAGCTACTCAGGAGGCTGAGGCAGAAGGATCACTTGAAGTTCCAGGTCGCAATAGCTGTATTGCCCACTATACTCCAGCCTGGGTGACAGAGTCAGACCTTGACTTAAAAAAGAAAAGGAAGGAAAAAATGAACTTAATACACCTAACCTACCAAACATCACAGCTTAACCTAGCCTACCTTAACTGTGCTCAGCAAAAATCACTGAACGCAAAGCCTATTATATAATAAAGTATTGAAGATCTCACGTAATTCATTGAATACTGTACTGAAAGTGAAAAACAGAATGGTTGCATGGGCACCCACAGTATGGTTTTCACTGAATGCATTATTACTTTCACACTATCATAAAGCCACAGAGTCCTCAGTCGAACCATTGTAAATTGGAAACCATCTATATTAGGATGGAGCACTGAGAAACCCAGATAGCTTTGTTGCCAAGTTTGTTTTAAATAGGGTCTTGCTCTGTCGCCTAGGCTGGAGTACACTGGCAGGATCATAGTTCACTGCAGCCCTGAACTCCTGGGCTCAAAGGATCCACCTGCCTCAGCCTCCCCAGCAGCTAGGATTACAAGCACAGCCCACCACACTAGGCTAATTTTAAAATATTTTGTAGAAGCGGGGTCTTGCTATGTTGCCCACACTGGTATTAAACTCTGGGCTCAAGTGATTCACCTTGGACTCCCAAAGCACTTGGAGGTGTGAGCCCCCACGCTCGCCTCTCCCCAAGTTTTAACAGTGATCTTCTGGCAGTTGTCAGAGAACAAATACAATTTCTCAAAAATCACCATTCTCGTACTTTTCCTTCTTGACCTCAACAACCCATACTTGGGAAACTTTTTTCCCCTATACTATCCATCGCTACTGGTTCTACACAATACCTATC